CGGACTGACCATTCAAGCACTCGGGCACTGCCCTGAGGGCCTGGGGTCAGTAGGGGGCCCCATGAGATGCCCCTGGTACCTTTTTTATAGGCTTTTTTGGGTGTGGTTTGAGTGTGGGCGAGGCCACAGGGGCCCCATGATCCCCTATTGCCCGGGGACCCCATGAGTTGTCAATCCGCCCCTGCATGCCACGTATCATATTTACTTGATTGAAGTAAATACTCATTGAATGAAGAAAGGCCCAGGCCATTGTAAAGCTAGCAGTACTACATTCATTTGGACTTATTCTGTAATGCTGAAGTCATTTTGCTACTCCCCTAAGAAGCTTCCTCAGTTCTAATGAGTGTGAGGGACATACGCCAGAAACTATGGACACCTGGGTAACTCAGTGACTTTAATCCAGTAGTCATGGCCAGGGGCGGACTGACAACTCATGGGGCCCCCGGGCAATAGGGGATCATGGGGCCCCTGTGTCCAAGCCCAAAATCAAAAAAGCCTATGAAAAAGGTTCCAGGGGCATCTCATGGAGCCCCCTACTGACCCCGGGCCCTCGGGCAGTGCCCGAGTTTCCAAATGGTCAGTCCGCCCCTGGTCATGGCAAATGTTGATTGCCCAAAGTGGGAGGTGTGCAGTTTTGATACTGTATGTTATGAAGAGTTAATCATTCGAGTTGCATGGCTGGATATTTGAATTGTTCTGAAATCTCAGGGGTAGAGATGGTGCTAAAGGCCTTTTCCCCTGTTTAAGCATGGTTATTCCAGTTTACTATACAGTAGATGGCCTTTATAATGGCGCTTAAAAATTGGTTGTTCTCTCTCTGTCCACTGTATGCACCTCTGTTGAAATGCCCCCTTTCTGCTCAAGCTCTACCAGCTGGCCAACACAATTCAATACACTTTCCATCAGCACAGGCTGTCATAGACACCCCTTCGATGGGCATGTCACCACATTTGCCTTGGCTTACAGTACAATACTGCTGATGAATGGCCACTGCTGCTGCAGTTAGATGAGGAAGAGTACATTTAGGGGTCACATGACATCAAGAGGAACTCCAGGGAAAAAAAATATTAATTAACCTCCTTAGCGTGTGTTCCCGAGTGTAGCTCGGGGTAAAATTTCTGTACCAAAAGCGGTAACCCCGAGCTACACTCGAGCTTATCATGCGACGCTGTTCTGGGGGTCCCTGCAGCACTTACCTTGTCCTTCGCTCCCCGCGATGTATCCCCTCCAGCGTCCCCGGCCATCTCCTCCGGCCGATGCCGGCATCCGGCACCTGTGTTCCGGTCCCTGTGACGTCGGGACGTACGGGCGCCGGAACCGGCGGGAAATTTGAATTTTTTTAAAAATGTCATTTTTGCTGTCATTGCTGTTTCAATGCATTTCACATACATTTTGTCCCTACTGCTTTGACAGGCACCCTGCCTGCATTTTTACTGTTCTTTCTGCCTGGAAACTTAGAAAAAATCCATGGCGTCCAAAAAGCGTCCCTTTACGTCAAAAGCGGTTTTAGAACAGCGATAGTAAATCAGAACCACTTGCAGAATTGAGTGATAATGATTTGTGGGGAAATTCGTCATCAGACACTGAAAACAATTTTGCGACTTTGCTCAGCGATGTGCGAATTTGCCTCTGTATTTCAAATTTCAGTGTTTTTGGTTTGATTATATTATTGAATTAAATTTATTATTATTATATTATTATTTCTTATGATTATTTATTAAATTATAATTTATGATTTCGTGTTTCAAATTTTATCATATCCGGAATGTTTAATAGACTCTTGTTCGGACAGATTTCAGTGAGTTATTCCTAAAAATTACAGCCTACAATAAAAAAACTACATATTTCCATGCAAAAAAATGGTACCGCTTTCAGCACAAAAAATCGGAAAGAATCATATCGCCGAGGAGGTTAAGTGAACTTTAAAAAAAAAATAGCAGGGGATTGGAGTGCAAGGAAGCCTGTATTTCAAAATACATTGAGCTGTAGGAGTCTTGACCGGCAATCGGTTTTGTTGTGAGGTTGTCTTGTTCCCACAAAAGTGAAGATCTTGCATTACTGGCCTGATTACACCAGATTTCTTCTTTTCTGTTCAGGTATTGGGTCATTTGGATATACAAGCGTCTGGCTGGTCCTATAAAAGTGGGATATGTTCCTGACGCTTATTGGAAGTCCTTTGGACGATGGTGAATGTCTGCAGCATTACAGAACAAATGTAGTTGAATGTCACTATTTATATTTACTAGCTGTTGAAGTACCGGTAAGTGTCAAAACATTAATAACCAAGAGACTTTATCACACGTACAGTGTATTCCTTTTGGGTAAAATTATTCTTCTCCAAAATTGTCATTATCATCAACTTGGTCTATCAATGCTGATTTCGAAAAGTTCAGAAATAAAAGTCAAGGCTGTTTGGCAGACGTGATGTTATCATTTCCAGTTCCCATTTACAGAAAAAAAAAAAGCCTTGAGACTTATTGATTAAGCTCTTGACTTCCAAATTATCTTATTGTTATCCTGCGTTACAGCAAATTACTGCCTTATGGATGTTAACAAGAACTTAAATGAAACATTCTTCGCTTAACATGAACGCATTGATTTTTAAAAAGCCTGTGATGCACTTGATCATAAATTGGACTCAGATTTGTCAGTGCTTAAAAAAAAATATTGCTCTTAATGAGCGTATCGCCAGGACAAATTCAGCAATGTGGCAGAAAAGCAAAAATACAAAGGATGTGAAGACTGAATATCAGAGACGTACGTAATTATTTTTTGGACACGCGTTTACTATTTTAACCACAAGCCTACAGGGCATTTATACCCCCTTCCTGCCCCGGCCAATTTCCAGCTTTCAGCACTGTTGCATTTTTGAATGACAATTGCACGGTCATGCAACACTGTACCCGTATGAAATTTTTATCATTTCTTTTGTGACAGAGAGCTTTATTTTGGTGGTATTTAATTGCCTCTGGGTTTTTTATTTTTTCTTAAACCAAAAACCACTGAACATTTTGAAAAAAAAAAAAAAAAAAAGTTTTTTCTTAGTTTTTGTTATAAAATTTTGTAAATACAGTTGCAAGAAAAAGTATGTGAACCCCTTGGGATTACATGGAGTTTTGCATGAATTGGGCATAAAATGTGCTCTGTCAATGCCAATCAGTGCCGTCTATCAGTGCTGCCTTTCAGTGCCCATCAGTGATGCCTGTCAATGCCCATCGGTGCCACCTACCAGTGCCTCCTCATCAGTGCCCATCAGTGCCACCTATCAGTGTCCATCAGTGCAATCAGTGCCCATCACTGCAGCCTCATTACGCACATCAGTGAAGGAGAAAAATCACTTACAGTTGCAAGAAAAAGTATCCTTGGGATTACGTGGCGTTTTTGCATGAATTGGGCATAAAATGTGCTCTGAACGTCATCTAAGTCACAACAATAGAAGAACACAGTCTGCTGAACATAATACTACACAAACATTAGATGTTGCCATGGTTTAATTGCACATAACATGTAAACATTCACAGTGCAGGGAGGAAAAAGTATGTGAGGCCCTAGCTTAATGACTTCTCCCAGAGCTAATTGGAGCCAGGAGTGAGCCAACCTTGACTCCAATCAGTGTGATGATTTTGGATGTGTTGCTGACAGCTGTCCTGCCCTTAAAAAACAAACACCTGTTTTGGGTTTACTGGTTTCAAGAAGCACTGTCTGATGTGAACCATGCCTCGCAGAAAAGATCTCTCAGAAGACCTACAATCAAGAATTGTTGACTTGCATGAAGCTGGAAAGGGTTACAAAAGTATCTCCAAAAGCCTTGATGTTCATGGGTCCACGGTAAGACAGACTGTCTACAAATGGAGAAAGTTTAGCACTGTTGCTACTCTCCCTAGGTGTGGTCGTCCTGTAAAATGACTGCAAGAGCACAGCGCAGAATGCTGCATGAGGTAAAGAAGAATCCCAGAGTGTCAGCTAAAGACCTACAGAAATCTCTGGCACATGCTAACATTTTTGTTGACACATCTACAATAAGGAAAACATTAAACAAGAATGGAGTACATGGGGGACACCACGGAGGAAGCCATTGCTGTCCAAAAAGAATATTGCAGCATGCTTGAAGTTTGCAAAAGAGCACCTGGATGTTCCACAGCACTACTGGCAAAATATACTGTGGACAGATGAAACCAAGATTGAGTTGTTTGGGAAGAACACACAACACTATGTGTGGAGAAAAAAAAAAGGCACAGCACACCAACATCAAAACCTCATCCCCACTGTAAAACATGGCGGAGGGAGCATCATGGTTTGGGGCTGCTTTGCTGCCTCAGGGCCTGGACGGATTGTTGTCATTGATGGGAAAATGAATTCCAGAGTTTATCAAGACATTTTGCAGGAAAACGTACGACCATCTGTCCGCCAACTGAAGCTCCGCAGAGGATGGGTGATGCAACAGGACAATGACCCAAAGCATACAAGTAATTCAACAAAACAATGGCTGCAACAGCACAGAATACGCCTTCTGGAGTGGCCCAGTCAGAGTCCTGACCTCAACCCGATTGAAATGCTGTGGCATGACCTTAAGAGAGCGATTCACACCAGTCATCCCAAGAATATTGCTACACTGAAACAGTTTTGTGAAGAGGAGTGGTCCAAATTTACTCCAGATCGTTTTGTGCATGTCTGATCTGCAACTACAGGAAACGTTTGGTTGAGGTTATTGCTGCCAAAGGAGGGTCAACCAGTTATTAAGTCCAAAGGTTCACATACTTTTTCCTCCCTGCACTGTGAATGTTTGCATGTTATGTGGAATTAAACCATGGCAACATCTAATGTTTGTGTAGTATTATGTTCAGCAGACTGTGTTCTTCTATTGTTGTGACTTAGATGACGTTCAGAGCACATTTTATGCTCAATTCATGCAAAAACTCCACGTAATCCCAAGGGGTTTTTCACATACTTTTTCTTGCAACTGTAAGTGAATTTTCTCCTTCACTGATGTGCGCTAATGAGGCTGCAGTGATGGGCACTGATAGGCTGCACTGATGGACACTGATAGGTGGCACTGATGGGCACTGATGAGGAGGCACTGGTAGGTGGCACTGATGGGCATTGACAGGCATCACTGATGGGCACTGAAAGGCAGCACTGATAGGCGGCACTGACTGGCACTGATTGGCATTGATAGGTGGCACTGACTGGCACTGATGGGTGACACTGAAAGGCAGCTCAGATGGGCACTGATATGTGGCATTGATGTGCACTGGTATGCACTGATATGTGGCACTGATGAGCACAAACAGCTGGCACTGATGGACACTGACAGGTGGCACTGCTGGGGCTACACTGATCATCAGGGCACACTGATCATCAGTGCTCTGATGATTAGTGTAGATGTCCCCTCTGAGGAATGCTGACTGCCGGCTCTCCTCTCTTCTCGATCTGTCAGCGTGACAGCTCAAGAGGAGAGAAATGCCGATAACCAGCATTTCCCTGTTTACATGTGATCAGCTGTGATTTGACACAGCTGATCACATGACCGAGCCAACATCTTCGGCTCTTTCCATGGATCGGTGACACATCGCACCGCCGATCACCACGCATGCGCGGTTAGAATGGGAGGACGTCATCTGACATCCTCCCAGAACGAGAGAACCGCCTTGCGTCCATCATATTACTATATGGCAGCTGGTGGTTAAAAAGTAGTTTTTTGTTGCACATTGGATTAAATTACTAGAACAATTTGAGTGTATTTTCAATAAAGAGACATTTGACGCTCTCATTGTAAACTTTACCAAAAATAAATATCAGCCAGATTTTTTTTTTTGCAGTCATTTGCAATTCCATATTTTTATTAATGTAGTTTGTGATGCTCCTGTAATTTGTAATTAAACTCACCTGTATCCATTAGCAGGTGCTGACAATATAGAAATGACACCGGCAACCAGGTAAAATGGTGAACAATAGACTCAACCTTTCTGTTGTGTGTCTCTGTGTGTCATATGGAGAAGAGAAAGAGCAGCAAAGAATTGTCTGAGGATTTGAGAACAAAGATTGGGCAAAAGCATAGACAAGAGCAAGGTTACAAGTCTATCTCCAGCGATCTTAATGTTCCTGTGTCCACTGTGTACAACATTGTAAAGAAGTTTACAGCCCATGGCACTGTAGCTAATCTCCCTGGACGTGGATGAAAGAGAAAAAATAATCAAAGTTTACAATGAAGGATTGTTCGTATGGTGGATAAAGAACCTCGATCAATTTCCAGTCAAATTCAAGCTGACTTTCAGGCACAGGGTACAACAGTGTCAGCTCACACTATACATTGCCATCTGAATGGAAATGGATGCTATGGTAGGAGGACCCCACTGCTGACACAGATACATGAAAAAAACAGATTGAAGTTTGCCAAAACGTACCTGAGGAGGCCAAAATCTTTTTGGGAGAATGTGTTGTGGACAAACAAAACAACAGCTTTTTGGTAAAACCCATCATTCTACTGTTTTCAGAAAAATAAATGAGGCCTTTAAAGCAAAGAATACAGTCCCTACAGTCACACATGGCGGAGGTTCACTGATGTTTTGGGGTAGGTTTGCTGCTTCGAGCACTTATCTCCATGTATAATACAATACATAAGGGGGGATATGATCACCATGTATAATACATAAGGGGGGATGTGATCTCCATGTATAATACATAAGGGGGGATATGATCTCCATGTAGAATACATAAGGGGGGATATGATCTCATGTATAATACATAAGGGGGGATATGATCTCCATGTATAATACATAAGGGGATATGATCTCCATGTATAATACATAAGGGGGGATATGATCTCCATGTATAATACATAAGGGGGGATATGATCTCCATGTATAATACATAAGGGGGGATATGATCTCCATGTATAATACATAAGGGGGATATGATCTCCATGTATAATACATAAGGGGGATATGATCTCCATGTATAATACATAAGGGGGGATATGATCTCCATGTATAATACATAAGGGGGATATGATCTCCATGTATAATACATAAGGGGGATATGATCTTCATGTATAATACATAAGGGGGGGATATGATCTCCATGTATAATACATAAGGGGGGATATGATCTCCATGTATAATACATAAGGGGGGCTATGATCCCCATGTAAAATACATAAGGGGGGATATGATCTCAATGTATAATACATAAGGGGGGATATGATCTCCATGTATAATACATAAGGGGGGATATGATCTCCATGTATAATACATAAGGGGGGATATGATCTCCATGTATAATACATAAGGGGGGATATGATCTCCATGTATAATACAAAGGGGGGAAATGATCTCCATGTATAATACATAAGGGGGGATATGATCTCATGTATAATACATAAGGGGGGATATGATCTCCATGTATAATACATAAGGGGGATATGATCTCCATGTATAATACATAAGGGGGGATATGATCACCATGTATAATACATAAGGGGGGATATGATCTCCATGTATAATACATAAGGGGGGATATGATCTCCATGTATAATACATAAGGGGGGATATGATCTCCATGTATAATACATAAGGGGGGATATGATCTCCATGTATAATACATAAGGGGGATATGATCTCCATGTATAATACATAAGGGGGGATATGATCTCCATGTATAATACATAAGGGGGGTATATGATCTCCATGTATAATACATAAGGGGGGATATGATCTCCATGTATAATACATAAGGGGGGATATGATCTCCATGTATAATACATAAGGGGGGATATGATCTCCATGTATAATACATAAGGGGGGAAGTGATCTCCATGTATAATACATAAGGGGGATGTGATCTCCATGTATAATACATAAGGGGGGATGTGATCTCCATGTATAATACATAAGGGGGGAATGATCTCCATGTATAATACATAAGGGGGGGATGTGATCTCCATGTATAATACATAAGGGGGGATATGATCCCCATGTAAAATCATAATGGGGGATATGATGTCAATGTATAATACATAAGGGGGGATATGATCTCCATGTATAATACATAAGGGGGGATGTGATCTCCATGTATAATAAATAAGGGGGGGATATGATCTCCATGTATAATACATAAGGGGGGATATGATCTCCATGTATAATACATAAGGGGGGATGTGATCACCATGTATAATACATAAGGGGGGATATGGTATAATAAATAAGGGGGGATATGATCTCCATGTATAATACATAAGGGGGGATATGATCTCCATGTATAATACATAAGGGGGGATATGATCACCATGTATAATACATAAGGGGGATATGATCTCCATGTATAATACATAAGGGGGGATGTGATCTCCATGTATAATACATAAGGGGGGATGTGATCACCATGTATAATACATAAGGGGGGATATGATCTCCATGTATAATACATAAGGGGGGTATATGATCTCCATGTATAATACATAAGGGGGGATATGATCACCATGTATAATACATAAGGGGGGATATGATCTCCATGTATAATACATAAGGGGGGATATGATCTCCATGTATAATACATAAGGGGGGATATGTTCATTGACAGACACATCTCTTCTATTCTTGACCATAGGGACTCCCAAGTCACAGAAGTCTGGTGCCAGAACACCTAGGAGGTGCTATCGTCCTGAAGGGTGTGCCGTAATGGGGAAGTAATAGTCCTGATCCTAAAGACAATTGCCTGAACAAACATCTGCGGAGCCCAATGGCCATAAAATGACACAGAAAGCTGGCAAGCTTTTCCCCAGACTGGTAGTAAGCCCAAAATGAGCATCTACTTCCCATAAAGGGAGAGTAATGGCCAAATACACACGAACCAACCAGACCCCATCCTGGAAGTGCAGAGAAAGCTCCTGAAACACGTGGCAGAAAAACTGGCTTGCCTTTAGCAAAGAGCGTTTTTTTAAACCAACTAGGACTGCCCATAGGGGGTGCTGTGTTCTTTTTCTGTCTGGTATCCTACTCCTGGAGATGGCGCTATAACCCCTATGGTCAACAATAGAAGTGATGAGTTCCTCAATGAACCTAAGAGAAATTTCTACCCCAGCACTTGCAATTTAAAACTTTTAAAGTAGCTGGCTCCTGCTTTCTCAGTTCTGTCTCCCTGAACTTCCGGTCTGCACAGTGGACAGTTTACAGTGGAATCTGAAGCTTGGAGAAGGGAGTGGGGTGAAAGAGGGAAGAGCAGAGGAGTGCCTTGCCAATCTAGGCTGGGCTGTGTGTTTCAATTGATGCACACAGTGTAATGAGAAACAACTCTACTCCTTGCATGCAAGGGTGGCTCCATAGAATCCTGCAAGAGAAATGAGTCACTCTGAAACAGGAATTCAGGGGAGGGAGTAGTCCAGCAGCCTCAGAAAGGCCTCAGGGCTTAGCAGCAAGCTAAAGACACAAGGTGTCATGTACCTGGTAGAAGTCTGAATTGACATGGTCAGCCTCTCTTGTATCTCCAACCCAGGCCACACTGAAGGTGGAACAGATGGTGCCGAGGGACAAGAGGAACACGAGTGCCTGTGGATATTGATTGTAGAACTTGTGGCTGGTGATGTAACCTCGGTAAATCAAGCAGGGCGTCCGGTCAGGAACAGAGAAGATGTCGGAACGGCCAGCTGAGGCTAAGGAAACACTCCACTGGAACTGCAAGATCTGGGTATGTGGCTTGCCGGAACTTCTGATAAGTGTGAGGCCGGAACACATCATGACAACCGGAGCTGATATAATGGATAGACAGGACAAGCACTCGGCAGGACTGTAGAGCTGAACTGGAGCTGGAAGCGTAGTCAGAGTAATAGCCAAGGTCAGCAATGAGCAGGCGATGAGGTACCGGAACATCAGACAGGGACGAGGTCAGGAGGAAGCCAGGATCAGAAACCGATGAGCAGAAGCATAAACAGAATCCAAGAGCAGGTCAATGGCAAGCCGCGTCGGTAACGGGTAACACAGGATATAGCAGGACACAGGGAATTAGCTGAAGATCAGTCAGCACCAGTGTACGCCCAGTCTTGCGCGCATGCGCGAGCCTACGCTCATTTTTATTAGCAATGCGTCCTTGCTCATTTCTATGCGCGATGTTGCCGTACAGGAATCTCGTTACACAAGCCCCCCCCTTCCTCCAAGGGAAGAACCGGGGCTGGGACAAGTGGTGGCTGTCCTGAACGCAATGGTTTGCTGTAGTGATGGGGAGCCTTCCCTCTGTAATTAGGTTGACAGGCGTAGTGACATTGGCAGTGATTTTTGACCAGCTAGTGACTGCTGGGCGTAGGACCCCTAAGTTTGCACACCATGGGTGGGGTGCAGTTTGGCATCTTTGC